CCCTCTTACTCTCTCACATGAAGGTTTCTCTACCCAGGGTTTATTTTTAATTTTAAATAGCTACTTCTGTCATACTCCATTCCTAAAACTGACTGACGAAATGCTAAGTAGGTGTTCCAAAAGATTTCCCTAATGGTGGGCACAGTGGTGAGGGGGGCAGCTTGGGTGTTTGGCCAGACAGGGATGATTGAGTCTTGAAGACATACAGATGAAACTGAATATTGCCATCCCCCAGGTTAAGAGCCAGGCTTAGGAGAAGGACCCCACGGCAGAGTGACAGGCCACAGGGCAGACAGTGAAGCCACTGTCTCATCTGCCTTCTAGCAAAGGAAACCTGTTATGCATTTAGCCTCCCATCACCTCACTTCATTTCTTCGCCACCAGACGTGAACTTCTGCACGCAAGCAGCCATGTGCTGCCCAACGGGTATGGATGATTATGGATGGATTGCAGCGGCCGTCGGCTGGAGCCTCTGGTTTCTGACTCTCATCCTGCTCTGCGTGGACAAGGTCATGAAACTCCGGCCTGATGAACCCAAATATTTGGTGGCCTGAAGCAGACCAAGCCAGCAAGCAGCAGCACCTGGGAGCAGTGAGGTGCGAACAGACTGACAAAGCATTTCAATCACTTCCTAAGAAACAAAAAAGAAAGGGAAGGTACCTTCAGACAAAAAAGGTCAGATCTAAGCAGGGCACCTGCTGGGCCTTCATCCTCCCTGGCAGGTCAGAGCTGCCAGCTGAGGTGTGAAGCAGGCAAGTCCCTGCAAGCCACCATGCATGTCCCACAGCGCACAGAAATTCTTCTCCCTGAGCCCTTTCATGCTCGTTGCAAGTGCACCAGCAGCAATGAGATGCTGAAGGATGAGTTACCAGCTTATAGCACACTGCCTTAAGACAACCCAGTACCTAACCTTTGCCTTTGAAACAGAAGGTAGGCAAATAAAAATATATTCTGGAGGATCAACGCTACCAGATCCATTACTAAGCCATAGGCCAGGTTAAATCAGTAAGCGGATGTAACTCATTGATTATACTGAGTCCTTCTCACTTGCTAAACTGCGATATTTTGAAATCTATTAACTGATACCAGTTAAAACTCTGTTATGGAAACTTAAGGATTGTTTGGGCTGGTTTGAAATTAAAACTTGTTTTTTCAGTGCAGTTTATATGTGAACTGTTTTGTAGGAACTGAATGTTGGTTGTAGTTATCCAGCTCGCACCTGCCCGTGTAACTAAGCCAAGCTGAATGGTGGCAAGCAGGTTTAAACCAGCATATCCAATTCATGTACAAAACTGCTCCTACTAATGCAAGATGGTAATAAACACTCTTCTTGATGAAAACTTTCTCACTGACTGGTTTATACTGATAAAGCTTATATTGGCAAGGAATTACACAACCCCAATTGTTAGAAACATGATTTTAACACAAAATATTAATGCAGAAGGGTTGGCCTCACTGTAGTCAAACTGTCTGGTTTGGGGCAGTTGCACCAGCTTGATTTCTGTCTATTATTAAAACAATAAACCAGTATTAAACCCATCTAGACATACACAGGATTAGCACCTGTTAGAGACCAACTGAAATACAACAGAAAAGTTACTCTTAAACCAAAGAAAGCTCCATTGAAGATTGTATCTATTAATTATGATGAAAGCCTACCTTCAGCTTATCAATGCATAACTTTTCCAGTTAGAAAAGATATCAGTTTAAGACTCTTCAGATTGATTCCGGCACTACTAGACACTTTAATCAGGACAACGCTGTGCCATTTCAAAGTGATGGGCAGTCACCCCTTATCAACTATCCACTATCAACAGGAATGGGTACAAGTTAGACACTGAGGAAAACACATCCTTCCCTGTAATTAGTATCACTTAACACAAAAAAATCTGGAGCAAAATGCCAACCATCAGCAAATAAAGTTTTGAAAGGGAAGGGCTTAATTCTTCTGTGGCTTTTTTACTTGTGTGTTTTGTTTGGTTCTTTTGAGTTTTTTGTTTGGTTGATTAGATTTTTTTTTTTTCACATGTGCCATACTACTAGTAGTAAAAAATCACAAAATATTGCTCAATTAAGAAAAAACCTCAACATTTCATCATACAACAATTAAAAGTAATTTTCACAAGACAAATCTCTGTGTTGGACCAATTACTTCTTTACACACACACAAAAAATCTAATCTCATATATGTACAAACTTACAGAAACAAAGGACTCTACATCTTACTGTTGGTGTTGACTGAAAGAAAAGTGAGTTGACAGTTAATAACCACTGCAATCAGTGACAGACAACAAATTTTATAACTACACACATCATTTTTTTCCTCATTTATTAGTTTTAATAGTGGAAAATGCACATTGTCCTGAAAGCAATGTGATAGATACCATGAAAAAATCTTCACTTTTTGCCTTAGTGTCTACCTTCTGCAGACTTGTTCCTACAGTTCTCCAGTATTATGGAGATTTTTCTCCTGGTCAGGAACACAGAAGTGCCTGACTGGATATGGCACTGGTTCTCATCTTTGAGGGGATGTTTCATAGTGTTCGCATTTCCTTGGTTAAGGCTATGGATGTGCATGGATGAACCCAGTCATGGAAATAAATCTGTTCCAGTCTGAAGAGTTGTAAGCATGTGATGCAAGCTCTAGATATCCTATAGCCCAGCACTACATCTGCAAACTTACTTCATAACAACTAGGGAGTTCAGGGGGGCTTCCTAAAGCCTGCCTTGAAAAGCACAACTTGTTTGTTTTTCATACTCTCCAAAAGAGTCTGCTTGTGTGCAGCTACCTTCAAGGAATGCACTAGACTTAAACCTCAAGTTTTGCTTCACGCAGCTTCTGTTGAGTATTCCCAGCTAACTGAGTTGGGGAAGAAGGAAAAAAATGCCATAGTTTTTCATATAATGTAATATTCCTAGGATTTTGTATACCTATGTTCATGGGTGACATCCAAGTCTCAACAAAATCAGGTATGCAAATGATCTTACAGATCACTTCTGCTGTGAAATGCATGCTTTTTCTAGATCTGCATCAAAAGAAGCATTAGCAGCACGTCAAAGGAAGTGATTCTCCCCCTCTACTCTGCTCTCATGAGACCCCACCTGGAGTACTCTGTTCAGCTGTGGGGCCCCCAACATAAAAAAGACCTAGACCTGTTGGAGAGAGTCCAGAGGAGAGCCACGAAATTAATCAGAGGGCTGGAGCACCGTTCTATGATTCTATGATGCAGTAAGGAAACAAAATTGTTGTATTACGTCAGAGGTTTACAGGTCACTGATAGAATCATAGAATCATAGAATGGTTTGGGTTGAAAAGGACCTTAAAGATCATTGAGTTCCAAACCCCCTTCCATGGGCAGGGACAGCCTCCACTGAACCAGGTTGCTCAAAGCCTCATCCAGCCTGGCCTTGAACACCTCCAGGGATGGGGCATCCACAACTTCCCTGAGCAACCTGTTCCAGTGCCTCAGCACCCTCACAGTGAAACATTTCTTCCTAATATCTCATCTAAATCTGCCCTCTTTCAGTTTATACCCGTTACCCCTTGTTCTCTCACTCCACTCCCTGACAAAGAGTGCCTCCCCTTCTCTCCTGTAGCCCCCTTCAGGTACTGGAAGGCTGCTATTAAGTCTCCTCGGAGCCTTCTCTTCTCCAGGGTGAACAACCCCAACTCTTTCAGCCTGTCCTCATAGGGGAGGTGCTCCAGCCCTCTGATTAATTTCATGGCTCTCCTCTGGACTCTCTCCAACAGGTCCAGGTCTTTTTTATGTTGGGGGCCCCACATCTGAGCACAGGACTCCAGGTGGGGTCTCACGAGAGCAGAGTAGAGGGGGAGAATCACCTCCTTCGACCTGCTGCTAATGCTTCTTTTGATGCAGCCCAGGATGTGATTGGCTTTCTGGGCTGCAAGCACACACTGCCAGTTTATGTTCAGCTTCTCATCATGTACTTTGACACCTGACATTGCTGGGCTTGATCTATAGCTTCTTCTTTTCAAGTAATCTGACTTCCTAAGAAGTGGATTGGGTCACTTAGAAAAACATAGTCCTGTAAGGAATGCCATTAACATACTACTACTCCCAGTGTGTTTTGGGATCCCTAAACAAAGTGGCAGTATCCTGAAAGCTCAAAGGCTACCAACTCAAACATCTTATCTGTTCCGATGCAATATAGTAAAAAAAAAAAAAATATTTTAAAGACTTTAAAGACACCCTCTGAGGTACACATGCTGTGTTGTACTGACCCTAGGCAATCAGACATACAATGCAAAGCAACACACCGTGCAGAAGGAGGAGAAAAGCCCTAACAGCACCGTCAGTGTTTCAGGGGCTCGTCAATAGTTACAGAAAGTGTAGAATAAAGAAGTTGTACCCAAAAGACTTGAGAAATTGATACAAAGACAAAAATTAGTATGCAGAAATGGATTGCACATACCTTATTTACAGTAAATATAATCTAAAGATCATCCGTGGTCTGCCGCTACATTTCCTGGAATATTTTTAACTAGGGAACACACAGTAGCACAGTTTGTGGGTTATAATCCCTATTTTAAGACCAACAAAGTCACAGTAAAAGGTTGTGGTCTGGTTTTGATGCACAAATTAAAGGTGACTTTACAGTAAAATGCCTTATAAATGTGGTCCATGAGCAATGTCACAGACTGGTGTACTCAGTTATCTTGCATTATCTCATGTTCCTAATAATATTACTGGCATTATAATACCTCTAATAGTAGATCCCCAACTAGTGCAATTCTGCCCAAGTCCTGCTGACTTTAAGGGAGATACACACAGACCCAGCACATGCCTTGTTTTGTTGTTTGGGTTTTTTTCGTCATAATTCAGGAAGTCTGCCATTTTTGTTCCCACAGGAAATCTTGGAAGCAAAATGTAACTCTAGATTTATCGGTGTGTATAAATCATTTCACCTGTGTTAAATCTTGGTGCTCCTTCAGACTGCTACATAGAATGTCATGCTGTAGCACTGAGCTGGTTTAGGCTCTCGTACATCTCAAAGCATGTAAAAAATGATAGCTTATATCACTTATTAAGCTGCAAACTATCCTACCAGAATAATGACAGAAATATTAACACTCCATTCATTCATAATACATTGACCAGTCAAATTCTATGTCCTTGGACCAAAAAGTTCCTCACTGGAATGAGATGGAGAATAAATCTATTCCAACTCATATGATTTTAGTACAAATAAAAGCAAAAAATGGTTGAAATCTGGATGGCTGAATAAAAATAAGCGTGACTGAAAAACAGGAGCTTGAACCCTAACATTGCTGATCAAGCCATAACAGTTCTTCATATTTTTTGGACAAAGCTTCTGAATTTCAGGTAGGAAAGTATGTACTGCCTGGAAAGGAAAGTGAGATGCAGATAGCACCTGGGAAAGTTGTTGGTCAACAGACAAACAGAGCAGTAGGGACATATAAACCAATCAAAAATTCTAATACCAAAACAGAAAAACATTTGCAGCAGCACAGCGTTCCAGGGTAACTACTTCAATTTGCCTGGAGATAATATCAATCACATCTGACTAGTGA